CATCGCACACTCATTTTAACCCGCGATGGAAGAATGCTCGCGCCCTCTTTTGTGTTCCATCCCCGCACTTGACAAAATCGCCGTCTTTGCGCGTCGGTGGATCGATGTCAAATGTATCGGCAGCAACTGATATTAAGCGACAGAAACCACACTGCTCAGATTTTGGATCGCGACGGATCTTTATCGCACTATTCCCCGGATGTTTCCTTGCCGACGCCGTCTCGATCGGAGCTCGAAAAAGCGCATCTCCCGACCACCGGGGACAGATGTTTTTATCTTTCTAGTGATTATTGCTCCGATGAGAGCATCGGAGCATCACTTCAAGGTCCCCTTTAACGGTATTTGTTTATGCCTCGATTCCCACGGAACCCCGCAGATATTTGATATTCGTTCAGAAGAGTCATACTCCATCATGGATCGATTGCTTTCCGGCCTCCTATCGACTCGTACTTTATCGACATCCGCCCCTTCGAATAAGAAAGAATTGCTTCGGTGACCTGGTGCTGTCCCTCGTCGAGCAGCCACCATTCCACGTAGAGGCAGGTGACAGTGTCGCTCTTGTCTTCGAACCTCACGCAATATCTCGTTCTCGTATACTCCTGCGGTCTCAGACAAATCTGCGTGAGAAGACACGCGTCCATCAGAGATGATGAAGAACATTTGGGTGGGTGCAGCACCGAACGAAGAAAGTCGGTCCCTGAAGCAGGCAAATGGGTCAAGGCTCTCGTACCTCTGGCGATATGTATCGGATCGGTGCTTCGCCAGCGATCCGGAGCCGCTCGTGAGCCTTCTCCGTCGAGTGATGAAGTCCCAAGCGTACACCCTCGTCGAAATTGAAGAGGTACTCCCGGTCAAGATCCTGGGCACCACGTCCTTCCACCTCGATGAGGAATTCTTGAATCGACTCCGATCTGGAGCTCGGCATCACATAAACCGTGTATTTACCTCTCTTGAGGAGTCCCTGTGAATCGAAGAGCACCTGAGACGGATCACGAATGGAATCAATGTGGTGTTTTCTTCGACGAAAGTTGTGTGGGAGCCAGATGCTCCAGAATCGTCAGACTCGTTCTCAGGTCTTCTCGTAGTTTGAGAATTTTGAGGTCGATGACGAACCTCGATGGAATGAAGTCGGAAGCGCACTCTTGCTGGCTGAGGTCCCTCTGCGATCGAGGTGCTGTTTTCCCGTCCTTTACTGCTCACATCGTATGATTGTCCAGCCTGGGAATAGAGCATCGGATGTAGGTGAATGTCTAGGAAGCGAGACCCTGCGCTAGTAACCCAGCCCGAGGGGATGGACTCGGAAAAAAGCCGCGGGAACTCTTCGGGATTGAAACGGTCAAGAGAAACGACTCGGCTATCAAAGTCCAGAAGTCAAAGTTCGTTCCCCATCCACGAAAAGAATTGATCTTGGCGAACGGTTTCGGAGCGAAATTCCAATTTTTGGCAGTCGACGCAAGATAGTTTTGTTCTCCCAATTGGGTTGCGAGGACCATGTGCTGGCCAGGATTGGAATGAATCCAGTCTGAGCGTTTCATTTGATTCTGTGGATCAGATTTCCGAAGAGGTAGGGAACCCCAACCAGTCACAGAGAAACCAGATCGTCGTAGTTAGCCCCTCACCATGTTCGTATGGTGATCAGCTCACCAGTTCGAGTCAAGCAAACATGCTGGAAACAGCGAAACGAATTCTTCCCGAAGGAAGGGTCGAACACAGCCCTGTGTCTCCAGAGAGACAAAACATTGGCTCCCACACTCAGTCTGAGGACATATCGATCAGGCGAGAGGGAGAGCAACATTCTTACGTGCGCGTTCCATATGCAAGCGAGATGATTCGAACTGAATTGCAGGGAAGTTCGCAGAATTTTCGAAGAAAGGTTTGTCTACAGAGCGGGGAAGGCATTCAAGCTGTATCCGGAATGGGAGTGCCCTCAAGCGACCTGTGGTCATCCGGCTGATTCGACTCGACACCCCAAACTCTCCGAAGCTCTCGGATCGGAGAACGAGCACCAACTTGAGGCTAGAAACAAAAAGACACTTATCTGCTCGACGACTGCGTGGGGAAAGAATCGGAGCTCCCCATTACGCGCTTGCCGAAATAAACGCTCTCATTTAGGAAACCCTGCACTACCCGTGACTGGTAGTGGGTGTTTCTTTTTTCATTTATTTCTTTACGAATAAGTGAGATTCGCTCAGACAGAGGGCACGAAATATCGAATCGGGGCAGAGTCGAGGATGATTCAGTGATCGACTCCACGTCAAAGATAAACTTCTGGAAATCCTTCTCCGTGCTCTCGACCAGGAAGGATTGATTCGCACATCCCAAATCTCCGCGTCTCCGGAGGGCTTGGACCGCTCACCTCGAACCTCGGCGAGCTCGATCCCATGGGAAAGTCGGAAATGATCGAGCATAGCTTGATACATGAACTCCATCGGAGTAGGTACCGGCTATTATGCGGCGGTCCCCTCATAATTGGGGCGTTCCTCCGCATTGCCTGCGCGGAATGGTAAACAACCCTTACATCTGATCAATGACGTGTCACGTCTGGCTATGGTCTGTCGTCTTTCGCAAGTCACAGGTCACAGCGTCTCCCTCGAGGGAAGGAAGAGAGTCGACGCGAACTTCCAGCCGCCATATTAATCGGAGAAAGATGCGCACCGATTTTTCTGAATTGGAGTCGGTGTTCAGAGACGACTTCGTTTAGCCTCCTAATTGCGAATCATCGAGAGCGACTGACCGAGGAGCGGGGATATTCCCGGGGTGACTCGAGGGGGTTACTCATGCTCCCCTGGGCGGCTGGGCAAACACAAGCGATCGACAGGTTCAATGCTTATCGGACCGCTGCTGAGCTGGCGGATTCGATGATTCCAACGATGAATTCTTAAAGCGCTGGCCTTGAACGAAACTTTAGGACCAGACGATCTGTTTGACGATAAGTTCATTGAGAAGCCAGGGTTGCTCCCGATGCCTACAGCTGTACACCGGATCCGAGCCGATAAGCCTATCGGAACTCGACCGAGAGCCCTCCATGGCTTGCCTACCAAGCCGTTCATCAGAGCATGAAAGTCGTTCAATACCGCCCTCAAAACGATCGAGGGAGGCCTTTCGCCGAATTCGAAGAGAATCGAGCCCAACACTCGAAATGCCCAGCCGTGAATCATGAAGCCCGTGTATTTTCCGTCCAGGGCTTTATGTTCGCGAAATTGATATAGAAATTTACATCAGCTTGAGCATTCAATTCCGCCGGGTGAGCCCTACATCGACAGAAATAGTGTGGGGCATCAGGTCGAGCTTGGAGGTCCGTTCTCACAGATCGCGGAGACCATCTGGTCACTAACTGGTCGGGAGTAAGTTTCTCCTAGGCTAACGCATGAGCCGAGATCTCGATTACCAATTTTTCAGTGGTGCATTATTTCCAGATTATCGGTAGTTTCGATCGCGGATATGCCTCACGGTCATCGTCAAGAGAACGGATCATTTTTCGCAGTCATGGGGAAGCTTGTGGAGGGAGTGAGTTCTGAACGACGAACTCGCGAAGGTTCCCTTCACTGCCTCCCATCTCGGCTCTTGCAATTCTCCTTAGGAAGTGTATCTGTTCGTGGGTCCGGCGATCATCAACGAGGAACGCTTCACCATCGCAGAGCCGTCGACATTCGATGTCAGCTCGTATAGTACTCTTCTCACGTGGTCGCCTCTGAAGGTATCTCCTTTTACTCCGGACAACAATCCTCGATATGAAGAACTTTATGCCGCTCGACAGAGTGCAGGAATGGCGGTGGACGACGCTCCTCACGTTCTCTCTTCTATCGCTTGGAGTGACCGGCGATCGCTCCTCGATTACGCAGTCCTTCGTCAAGCTTGTTCTGACCCTTTTTTACGTTTCGCCGAGTAAGTTCGGGCTCAATTGCTTCCTGCTCTGAATTAAACCCAAGTAAGTCTGGCCGAGTCTTCCTGCACCGTTGGTGCGAATGATACAGCGTCGGGAACACGGAGCAAGGATCGAGGATCGGAGGTACCTATAGCTAAGTATCTATTCCAAATGCCTGCCGGGATCTTTTACACATAGATTCTTTTCGCGCCCTCCATAAGTGAATCCATTCGTATGGTACCGCGATCACGGGGAGATCACTCCATTAAGAGCACGTGAGACGGGAATGTTTCATGACCGGGCTTCTGTTTAAACCCTCTGATAGGGAAGCCCCCGAATTGATCCTGGACGATTTCAGAGGGATGCATTTATTTTTCGATTCGCTGCTCGGCGAAGATACCTCCGGTCACTAATTGATCAACTGCAGTCGGAATCTCATCGAGTTTCTCTGTTTCGCCGTGCTATTCTATCGCGGAGCTTGTCGCACTGTCATCTAAATAGACTCCACCGATTTGAGCGTAAAAATAGTTCCAGAACGATCATGGCTGATGACTGATGACTTCTGAGGCTGTTTTCTGTCTTAGTAAGCTAATGTTTCGACGAGCCCTCGATCTCCAATGATATCTGAGTCCCTCGCCGATCTATCCGACATTCCCGCTCATATCAAGCTTTGCGGGACTCCTCTCTCCCCGAGACAAAGTTCCCTCAAGTGTTCCTGGTACCGAGGTCCTCGAGGGAGGTGTTCCGACCACAACACCACAAATGACAACAGCTCTCCCTGACAGAACTCAGGAGACGCAAGGTATCGAACAAGAAAGGATTCTCCATATCATCTGCTATCATTTCGAAGCGCCCGATCTTGACGATCGACCTGGAGCGAAACATGGGGCGGGGGGCGGATTATCAGTCCACTAAATGACAGTTTCTCCCCTGATATACGATGGAAGGGCTCGCCCGGAATCTGTACAAGTCGACTTACGATCGCATCGGATGAATCCGACTCAAGCTGTTCGTGTTCAATTGTATCGTGCGGCCGTGTTCGCCGATAAAGCGACCAAGGATTCTGGATTCGAATATTCGAGAGACAATTCGTATTCGGATGCTTTAGAGCCTTGAGTGTGGACTCTCGCGTATAATGAAGCCCGTGTATTTACCCTACCAGGCTGTTTTCAATTCTACGATGCCTCATCTTCGCGTAGCGATGGTTCAGGTGGGAAGACTGAACGGATTTATTTCAGTTCCGCAGAGGAGATAGCACTGCTTCCCAGGTGCAATTCAGTATTGAAGAGTGACCGAACTCCGTAGGTCGAACCCTACATCAACATGAGACGACTTGGAGATGAAATTGAAATAAGAGGTCCTTTCTCCCAAATCGCTGAGGCTATACAGAAACTTACTCGTAATAGGTGAGTCTCCATGCATGTCGATCCGAGAAGCCGGCTTTCAAGTGTCTGCTATTTTCCCTTGTGACCTACAGACGAACTTGTCGAATGATTACTCGCAGCTTATCGGTGGTGTCGATCGAAGATGTGCAACATGGCCATCGCCTCAAGAACGGATCCTTCGTCGGAATCATGGGAAAATTCGAGAGAGACGTACTTGTCACGCCAGAACATACAGTTCACTCATGTGGACCAACGTGCCCAAACAAACTTCGGTGGCTGCATATGGACTTGCGTGGATACTTATGGACTCTGACAGCTTCCCTTCCCAGGAAGTGGATTTGCTCGTGAGCCCCGCGATCATGAACGAAGAACGGTTCATTTTAGCAGACCCTTCAATATTCGAAGTCACCTCGTATACGCTTCTCGGCTGGTCTCCCCGGAAGGTCCACTCTATGATACGTATCCCTCCCGAAATTCTTCCGAGTTAATTCATCCTGTCGTAAAGGATTAGTGCTGATACAGTTTCTTCCGCGACGACCAGGTTGTGGATCCGTTCAACTTCGCGTCTGCGTTCACTGCGGAGGTCTGGCTATCGGTCCTGCTAAGTTTCTTGTTGCTGTCACTGATCTGCTGGATTATGGACAGGTATGACGACTTCCTCTTGACTTTTAGACTTTGTTTTCTTTGTCATTCTTCTTTTCCCGATTGAGCTTATCGATCCAAGATATCTGACTCCGTGGGAGGAAGGAGCTCCCACGGCCTTGTCCGAATACGCGTGGGATTTGTTCACCCGCTTTTTCCCGCAAGGTAAGTCTGTGGTAGAAGCGATTTTCCGAGCGATCGCCGAGATGACTCCAAGGATTCAGGTAGAACTTAGGAAGATCGAATTTTTGGAATAGGCTGCCCCTCCTCTGATAGGAAAACGTCACCATCGTTCCAGATGCTCCTCTTCAAGACGCGAGTTGGTTCAGAATGTGTCTGATTGGATTCCTCATTGCCTTCTCCTTGATCCTCATGACTTTTCTGAGCAGCGCTCTCACGTCTTCGATGACCATCAAAAGAAATGAAGATTTCGTCAACAGCTATGCGGACGTGCTTCGATTCCCGAAAGTTCGGATCTACAGCGAGAAAGGGACAATTTTCTCACAAATTTTTCTAGTGAGTCGCGAATCCTGACGCGAATGCATTCTGACGTCAATTCCTTGGTGTTTTCCTTCATCTAGGTCGGAGACTTAGTGTCCCATAGCTCTTCATATTCGTGCTCCTAATTATGACAGGATCCTCACAACGCCCTCTTCCGGAAGCTAAGCGGGAGGCACATTCCCGTCCGAGGGATATTCAAATTGAGCTCAGAGGTTTCCGTGATGGTCGATGAAATCGAAGCGAAGACACGCGTTATTGTCGGCAGTCCAGACATATGCAAGTCTGTGGTGATTAAGAAACGGGAATCCTCAGGCAGATGTCCGAACGTCATGCTGAGCACGGAGAGTGCCGGCTTAATGCTGGGCTCTTTGTTCGTCTCGCGTCGCCTTCCTAGCGCAACTCGGGAAATCATCAACAGAGCGTAAGTCATCACGAAATAAGTCGAGCTGTTTGACACAGCGGGTCTCGATTTATTCTGATTGATCATTTGCCGACCAACGAATTAGTATTTGTCAATTCGATCTCCTTCAAAGGATTCTCGTGTCTCTGGAAGCGTTCCTCTACCGCAAAACCATGATCTGGTCAATGGATGAGTACGAGAAATGCAGGTTGCGCTCCCGCGCCTCATTGGAAACCACAGCTCTTTCGGTCCTAGATGTCCAGGGATGTTTCGTATTGTTCGCGATCGGAGTATGCGCGGCAACCACCTCCCTCTGTATCGAAATATCGAGGAAGCGTTCTTGTCGATGCGCCTGAAGCTGATTTTCGATTTATTTTCGAAGTGTTCCCAGTCTCTAAGCTCGCTTATTTAAAAACTCTTACAGATCTGAGACTGATTGTAACTTCATTGCTTATTATATTAAAGAGGTCTCTTCTTGGTATTGAATTGTCTCCTGTACTTCGCTCACCTCCGGAGATCATTGGCCGTTGACGCTCACCCATGTTGAACTACAACTTCCCGAGTCTCGTCATCCAAAAAGTCCGCCTGAGGAGTCGCGTAAAGATTTGAGAACTTGACTCGGGCAGTCGACCGCGACTCTGCTTTTCCATTTAGATAGTTCGGGAGTCATTGGATCCATCTGCCCTCTATTGCTGTTTTTCTTTTTACGTCGTTGGGAATCGATTCTCCAAGCTAAACGTCTCTGCAGGCAACAGTTACCTAACTCAGGGATCATTCCATACCTAGGCGATGTCCGGGAACTTTTCCGTCTCATAAGCCTCCTTTTTTCCTGTTGAATCGTGACTCCTACTCTACTCAGCGTGTATCTTGCTCAGAATTATGTGCATATAATATCGTGGAGCCCATTTTTTTTTCGCGTTAAGTGACCTCCACGCCCGGCTGGAAAAGGAAGATCAGAGAACAAACACCGATTTTCATGCAAGGGGCAGGACTTTGCGACTCGATAACTCGGCGTCGAACGCGCCGATAGCGATGCAAAGAGTGCCGAGGACCTTAGATCCGATCTTGTTCACAAGGAATCGCCGCTTCTGCATAGGGGTGTGCGAGCATTCGACGCAAATACTTTTATGCCGAAGATTCGACGCAGACCCTTTTCGACGCCAGGGAATCTGCGCAGACCTTCCTCGACGCCGGAGCACCCGACGGCGGAAGTTTCGCTGCTCTAACGCGATTGATTCATCAGAAGCGCTGCCTTCGAGAAAAGGCACGGCTATCAACCTGAGTTGAGCCACCTGCCGGGACGACTCAGATTGAGATGCTCAGCGAAGACACGACTAGTTGATTTTCGGCTCGAATTTTCGAGTTCTCTCCCGCAGGAGGACAGATAATCATGGCTCCAATGGTTCGTACATGTTGAGGGGAGGTTGGGATACCTTTCTACATTTCCCCTCGCAGCCAGCCTAATTTGAAAGGTCAGATCGAGAGCTCCATGGGTATACGACGTCATGGAAAGAAGCGGAGAAGAGGGATCAGCGTTGGATGCATGAACGTTCCCAGCGGGGATCGCTGCCGAACAATCAAAAACCCTCGATGTTTGCGCTCACCGCGACGGTCCGTACTCGCTCCTCTTCAAGGAAATGCTCCCTGGAAGCCGTTCGGGTTGACTACGTTGACCACGTAGATCTATGGGGAAGGCGATGGAATTCTGCTGAACTTCCGGGACCGAGGAATCTCATCTGCCCATTCATTTAGTATCGTCGAAGTCCTTCCCATCCATAAACTACGTGGGGCACTCGAAATGTGACGTCACCGGTCGAACTTACGTCTTGCTCTGAAGTATGGACGCCCGATGTTTTGCGACACGAAATGGTACCCCGCTTCGTTCGAGGATGCAATGCGACCGATGTTATAGACGGCAGCCTCCGCCAAAAAACAGGCCAGGATGACGAAGTATGCGATCAGGAGGGATCGAGGCAATTGGTAATCAAAACCCCGTGGACCACGCTCCTCCGGGTCCAAGACCCAAATCCCAGCTCGTATGCGCCCCCAGCCATCGACTTTTCTGTGCCCGATCTTCGCTGAAATGGAGTGATCGCTGAGGATGTAGGTGACTCTCCTATAGGAACAGGGGCGATTCGGAAGCAAGGAAGGAGCTTTCAATTTTTCAGACCTGAGTCGATCGATGAGTGATTAATAGGGCTGTGCGTTTTATGCACGAAAAAGAGCGAATTTTGCATGAAAATTGATGACTCGGCTCAGTGACGAGGCGTCAAACCCATCTTTTCATCGGTGCACGCGAGGAAGGTAATAAGCACGGAGGGGCCCCAGGAAACACAGCCCGAGTGGGGTCTCCGGGGATATCGAATTCCAGGGTGAAGTCATTCGGTATTCCTGGCGAGCTGGCAGACTCTCGGGTACCTTCCCAGTGAATAATTCCCGCGGGTAATCTCCCAAATGAAAATCCTCGTTCTCTGATCGCAGTACCTCGAGGCAATTTTCGAAACCTTCCACTTCCGTTAGCAAAGTTGGAGAGAATTGCTTGCGTTGTGAGTGTCAATAGAGATGAAGTCACCATCTCGTTCGCGAAGTCGAGTAAGGGATTAAACGGGGTCCGATTCCCGTTGTTAATATTGCCGATCATTTTCAATATATCCTATGTGCCGGCCCTTACCGAAGAACGAGTGTCAAGCTCCAAAGTAGGTTCATCCGAGAGCGAGGGGTCTCTTGACCTCACCGACTGTTCATCAGAAACCTAATCGGAAGTCCATCTGACGTGCTCTCGGGACCTCCATGACTTGGACGATTAGCCGATCAGTCGAGCATGGAAAGAGTGCCATAAGCGATTTCGGAAGGATTGTGCGGGGAACCCGAAAGCTTCTGATACAAGTTGACAGTCTGAGCGTTCTTGTACCATGAAATCCGTGTCTTTCCCGTATAAAGGTGCTTTCAATTCTACGGTGCCTCATCTCCGCACCGCTATGATTCAGGTCGGTGTTTCCCCTAATCCTGATCCCCAGAGCCGCCTCCGGAAGAGAATGTTTCCCTCATTCTACAGATGGAGAGTCGGAGAAGAAAATAAGGTCATTCGTCATGCTGGAGGCACATGTTGGCAGACGATCCAATATTCGCAGGTCGACGCTTACATGCTCAAGAGACGAGTAGGGAATCGAGTTGAAGTTGAAGGCCCTTTCTCTCAAATTGCTGAGGCTGTTCGGAAGATAAGCGGTTTAGAGTGAGTATTTTTCCCGTTCCGAGGGAAGAGGCGTCCTGTTGAATATGACTCATCCCCCGGGAGATAATTCCCAGGTTATCGGTGGTCTCGATCGAAGACATGCAACATGGTTATCGACTGAAGAACGGATCTTTTTTCGGCATCATGGGAAAACTCGAGAGAGGCGTGAGTCCGCACATATTGCACATAGTGTCAATTCTGAAGCAGTGTTTTCCTCTCACTCCTAATGTCGAATCACAGTATTTGCGAAAGTTGTGTTCAACCCACCGAAGCGTGCCAGAGAAACAACTGAGAAAACCTTTCGCTCACATCGATGTTTTTCATTATTCCCAGGAGATCGATCTGCTAGCGAGTCCTGCCATTATCACCGAAGATCGTCTGACGATCGCAGAGCCCTCAACTTTCGACGTAATCCCGAACACGCTGCTGACCTGGTCGCCCCAGAAGGTGCCCTGCTCCTTACCGGGAGAATTCGTCATACGCGATCCCGGAACAGGAAGAATTGCATTTGGATATTAGATATCAGCCTCAGAAGAGAACCTCCGCCAGGGAGGATCGCAAGATCTGATCTCAACCGATGAGATTCGACCGCTCTTGAAAAATCTAGCTCACGGGTGTTTCCGCTACGGCCGGAAGGGGTTGAAAAACAGAAGTTCCGTCGATTCCTGTCTGAGACTGAGAATGGGGACCAAGCATCATTATCCGTGAGGAGAGCGGCAGCTTGCAGTACATCGGAATAGGACTAAATTAATGCTGCATTCTGAACTCAGGCTCGTCATCTGGAAGTACCCTATGAGGTTCCTCAATCTCTGATTTGATCCCGAGGATCACAATTATTGAGGGTTGTCGAGGAGAATGATTTCCTTATTGAGGAATCGATCAAGAACCGACTCTTTCCAAAAATGGTGGATCGAGTTCGCATCCTCAGGGAATTTCTATCGCGTTGTCGAAGAGACTCAGTGTTCATGAGGAATTCTTCCTCTGGCGCCTTCGAGGGTTGCAGCGGGGAATCGAGTGAGCATAACGCTTCAAATGGAATCACTCGCGTTCGGAAGCTGCTTTCCCACTGGGAGAGCGGAGGCTCGCTGGTTGAGAGGACTTGCCGCTCCGTTCCGACGAACTAGCATTTCCGTTTCGATCTTGAGGAGAGAATGTTCTCGGTCCGATTCGCCGTCTACCAGAAGCCATCTGGGAAATACTTTATTCACCCTCACTCCCCCATACAGGTGGTGGATCCGTTTAATTTCGCATCTGCCTTCAGTGCGGAAATCTGGATAGGAGTCCTGTGGAGCTTCGTATTGCTGTCGCTGATTTGCTGGATCATGGACAAGTTCGTCATTGAAAAATTGATCATTCCGAGCTTTAGCGCGGGACCAGACCTCGATGTCCTATTATCAGTCCTAGCTACTCATCCTAATATTTCTCAAAAGATATCTGACCCCGTGGGAGGAATCCGAGCCGCTTGCGCTCAGTGAGTACATGTGGGATCTATTCTCTCGGTTTTTCCCGCAAGGTGAGACTCAATCATTTAGATATGAGCTTGAGTCGCAGTAGAGCGGCATCAAAATGCGTTGGGCACAATTCGAGAAGCTGCCAGCTCTGAGCCATTCGATCATATGATATGTAAATCTTCCAATATTAGGTATATCATTTAGCGTGATAGAAATAGCTATCGTAGGGGCGAAATTTCGGCACGACCAACATATCTCTCCGTCGTCCGTTTGCTGGCTTGCCTCGAGGATAATGTTAGAAAACTTTCGTTACGGCGGACTTCCGCGACATTGAGCAGACTTCGCTGTTATGAGCGTTCGTTCAATCGACAAGGGAATTCCCATTCAGAATTCTCATTCCTCGGATGGAGTGGAAAAATTGACCGTTCAAGTTTCCCTGAGAACTCTCATTTTCCATCCAGATCGCTCTCTGCAGGAACAGAATTGGTTTCGGATGTGTTTGATCGGCTTTCTGATCGCCTTCTCGACAATTCTCATGACCTTCTTGAGCAGCGCTCTGACATCTTCGATGACCATCAAAAGCGACGAGGATTTCATCAATAGTTACGCAGACGTGCTTCGATTCCCGGAAGTTCGGATCTACGCCGAGAGAGGGACTATTTTTTCACAAATG